GAGACCAAATGCCAGCTGTGCTGCCATCCCCTCTACCTCCTATCTAATATTTAATCCCTTGGCAAAGCCTGCCAACTCTAAATTCAAAATATATTTGTGTTCTTTCTCTCTCTCCTCTCCTCCCACCTTTACCCTCCCCTCAATTTTAGGTAGCAATTTAAAACTGTTTAGAGCTGGGCATGGTGGCACATGAGTATATTCCCAGCTACTTAGAAGGCTGGGGCAGGAAAATTGCTTGAGCCTACTTGTTCAAAGGAGGCCCAGACAACACAGCAAGACCTCATCTCAAAACAAAACAAAAGCCAGGTGTGGTGGTGCACACCTGTAATTCCAGCACTCCAGAGACTGAGGCAGGAAGATCACTAAGAGTTCCTGGACAGCCTGGGCTACATAGTGAGTTCAGGGCCAGCCTGAACTACAAAGGAGACCCTGTCTCAAAAATAAATAAATAAACAAACAAACAAATAAGTAAAATGGCTGTTTTTTAAAATATTGTCTTAGCATTTAGTTGGAGTTTTTTTAAAAACTATGTTAAGAAAGAAAGCAAGACACAAACTACATGGAATCTACATGGGCACCCAAATGGGACTGAATTAGAACAGACTAAAAATTTGTGAGTAAAGGATTATAAATGATTTTTATATACTACTTTTACAATTTCCAAATCTGTAGTATATTAGTAAATGTATTTTTTAATTTGTTTGGGGTTTTTGTGTGTACTGAGACAGGGTCTTTCTATATAGTTCGGGCTGGTCTTGAACTCACTATACAGCCCAGGCTGGCCTCAAACTCATAGCAATCCTCCTACCTCAGCCTCCCAAGTGCTGGGATTGCAGGTATACAGCACCACACCTGGCCTCAGTCTTTTCTTTCATTGCGTCTATTTTATATGGAAAAAGATCTAAACACATACCATAGGTAGTCTGAGTCCAATTAATGACTATACTGCAGAAATTCTGACATATATAAACATACATAGCTGATACTACATTCCAATTACCAATTTTTTTTTTTTTGGTACCTGGGATCGAACTCAGGACCTTGCGCTTTTGAGGCAGGTGGTGGAACCACTGAGCTAAATCCCCAGCCCACCAATCTTATTTTTCATATCCAATTTATTTCAGTCCTACTAATTCCACAAGAAATGATGGTTGTGTAACTTTTATTATCTGATCTTTTATCTTCCTTTTTCCTTAAGAACATCCTCATTAAGACACAAGTTTTTTGTTGTTGTTTATTTTTTGTTTGGCTGGTTTTTTCCAGGGTCTCACTATGGAGCTCAGCCTGGCCTTCAAATCATGGCAATCCTCCTGCCTCAGCCTTCCAAGTGCTGGGATTACAGGCATGCGCCACCACACCTAGTTTAGAACATCAGTTTAAGTAAGCTTGGATAGTTTTTTCATATACAAATTTAACCTAAATAGACAGTATATTCTTTTTTTTTTTTTTTTTTTGGTACCAGGGATCAAACTCCGGTCCTTGCGCTTGCGTAGAAGGCAGCGAAACCACTGAGCTAAATCCCTGGCAAAAGACAGTATATCCTAAAAACTATATAGAAAATAAAGATGGATAAAGTTGGATATATTATGGAGAAATATGAAAAGACTGGCTTGAAGAATCTAAAAACAATTATTAATATAGTAATTATTTGTGTATAAATTCCATACACATATTTTCCAAACTTTTCTACCTCTAATATTCAATTTTAACCTCGTAGAAAACCTAATTGATGAATACTCGTTTCCTGATTACCATCATAATGGGCCAGCACGTAAACAGAAGGCTTATGAACTCTACGAATAGTAGCAGAGTGAATAAACTCGACAGCAGTATGGCAATGGAACCATCATTAAAGTGGATGTACCAATTAAATGCTTCAAAAATACTTCCAACTGAGAATCACATCATCAACACACAAAACCTTCCCATTTCATTTTATGAATACATCTGTTATACGTAGTGTATGATAAAAACCAGTTGTTGAGAGTCATTCTACATAATTTTGGGGGAAAAATCATTTCATAATTAAAGAATGACTATAGCTGTCTAACGTCACCTTGCCCACTAGTTGGCTATGACATTTGGAAACATAACTCCATTCTGCCTCTGGTCACAAATTGAGGTTTCTATGGTTCCATGATACTATGACGCTCAAGGGCAAGAGTGCACCAGCTGAAGACATCCTGGTTCTCAGAGGAGGACTGATTAAAAAAGAAGAGAGGGCCAGGGATTTAGCTCAGTGGTTTCGCCACCTGCTGCGCAAGCACAGGACCTGAGTTTGATCTCCAGTACCAAAAAAAAAAAAAAAAGAGAGAGAGAGAAAGTTTTCACCCAGGGGAAGGACAACTTCATTAGCCTGCTATCTGTCCCACCTACTATTATTTTTTGTTTTTTGGTTTTTTTTTCCCCACCTACTATTGTAAATTATTGTAAGAATGCCCTCCTGGGCCAGGGATTTAGCTTAGTGACACCATGCCTGCCTCACAAGCACAAGGTCCTGAGTTAGATCCAAAAAAAAACAAAGAATGCCCTCCTGACTGCCCTCATCAACATAAAATCTTCAACGATCTAAGATCCTCATTAACATAGGATTACCACCACCCCTAAATCACCTGATACTTCCTCCAATTATTGTGTGTACCCAATAAATAGCGGCTAGCTTGGAAGGTCTTTATCTTTGCCCATTCTGAGGCACTGACCTCCCAGTGGGCCCTCATGTTCTTTATGCTGGAAGTCTCTATTGTCTTTCTTTCTTTTTTTTTTTTTTTTTTTTTGGTACTGGGGATCAAACTCGGGTCCTTGAGCTTGCGAGGCAGGCGATGGAACCACTGAGCTAAATCCCCAGCCCTCTATTGTCTTTCTTTAGCCCTCACCATTCCCCTTGTCCCACTCTGTAAGCAGTCGGAGGATTAATCACCCTCCGATAACCAGTAACTTTAAATAACTTAACATTTTGGTATAATATCCAAAAACTACAGTATTCCTATAACAATAAATCCTGAAGGCTGAGGATGTAGCTTCCTGGTAGAGTGCTTGCCTAGCATGCACAAGACCCTGGATTCCATCCCCAGCACCACACACACACAAAAGATATTCTATTTAATACTCATTATCACCTATCTAGGAAGAATAGGCTTAAGAAAATTGATATTAACAACCAAATATACTAATACTTTAGTTCTTTAAAACTCAAATAAAAAGCTTCTCTCTGTAGGACTACATAGGGAAGCTACAGGACCCAGACAAGATGAGAAAACATTTCCCTCGAATACTAATGCTACCAAAGACCAACACAATCTTTCTAGGAATGAAAGATGATTTCAAGTACACTGTATGAGAAGGGTAAGGCAGATACTAAAGTCTCATGAAGATACCAAGGATAGGCCGGGGATTTAGCTCAGTGGCTCTGGTGCCTGCCTTGCAAGTGCAAGGTCCCAAGTTCGATCCCCGGTACCAAAAAAAAAAAAAAAAAAAGATACCAAGGATATGTCACTAAAAAAGATTGGTTTGGTTTTGTTTTAGGTGACAGGGTCTCGCCGTGTAGTTCAGGCTGGCCTTAAACTTACTATATAGCCCAGGCTGGCCTCAAACTCGAGGCAATCCTCCTGCTTCAGACTCCTGAGTCATGAGATTACAGGTGTGTGCCACCAAGCCCAGCCTAAAAAGGACAATATTGACAGAAAATGTGAACCAGGGCATTCTACCACTGGGTACATCACCACCACCTTTTTTTGTGTGTGTGTGAGACAGGGTCTTGTTAAGTTGCCCATATGGGACTCAAATTTGCAATTCTCCTGACCCAGCCTCCCAAATGCTGGGATCATAGGTATACATCACCTCATCTGGCATTACTCATCTGAAAATGTATCTATACATCAGAAAAACTACTATAATTGATAACTGAAGACATCTAAATATTGATGGAAAAGAATATACTTAAATTATAGCAAAAATCACTCTGAAATATCATGCAGCAGTTAAGGAAAAAAGTGGTGAGTAGAAATCAGAGCTCTAAGATTTTCTATTAAATGTAAAAGCCAGTTGTTGAACAATACATAGCATTTGGCTAAAAAGTGGTAGGAAGGTGTATTTCTCTATAATCCTTCAACATTTTCTATAACCTTCTCTACTTACTGTAGTACTGCCCCTCCTTAATTATCTTAGAGATTTCTATTGTTGGTTTTACTGACTTATATTTTCTCCCCTCACTCCCATTGGACATGTTTTCTACCTACTTTTGTCTCCTCGGTCATAGTCCGACAGACTCAAGAGAAGCTACAACAATATGCAAGTCCAACTTCATCTCGACCCTGGTGAAAAGGGACTGTACACCTCACAGGCAGAGCTGTGCTCTCCTGCGCCACCTCTGCAGAGCCCAGGGAGGGCGACCTCCCAGGATGGCCACCTCCCAGGATGGCCACCTCCCAAGATGGCCACACTGGAACTAAAATATTTTCATCTGCATGAGTTTAGCTCTACAACTAACTGTGTGCCTTGAAAACATGGATCATGGCAGTGTATTCTTCCACACCTAAAGTAGGTACACAAATATCTGTGGATGGCTGATGAATGATGTGTAAAATATAAAAGAGTAAGAAATGGCATTTTAGGGTTAGAGAAAATAAAACCCTCACTAAATGGGAAAACCGGACTGCAATACAGTTCTTTAGATTCTTTGAGTCAATACTTTTTTTTTTTTCCAGTACCGGAGATAGATTCTTTGAGTCGATACATTTTATATCACCACCAGCTCTTTTGGAAATTCTACTAACAAAAATCTGTGATTATTTCCCTTTTCATGAGAAGTTTTTCTTTTAATCACTCAAATATGTAAATGAAAGCTTAAAAATCTATGTGTAAAATATTCATACCCTACAATTTTGTGTGTGTGTCCACGTGTTACTTGGGATTAAACCCAGGGCCTCACACATGCTGGCCAAGCACTTGACCACTGAGCTATTTTTTCTAGCCTTATATCCTACCATTTTATTAATACTTACCATCTTTCTGGCACTGATGCAACCAACATCCTTAGAAAGGCCATGGTTGATATCTGCAAACTTTACAGCTCTTCCTGTTCTCTAACACAGTGTCTTCTTACTGTAAAATAAAATGTTGCATAATAAAAGCAAATTTATATCAATTTATAATCTCAAATGAAAAATCCAAGACTATTCACGATGTAAATATATTCCAAAGAAAAAGACACAGACATCATTTGCCACCATTAGAGTTAATTAGTACATTCTGAAAATAGTTACATGGAGGAAAAAAACTTAGCACTTATTCTACCTTTTTTGAGTAAAGCACTACTTCAAAGTAACAGAATAGCCCCAGATGACGAAGGAAACCTTGTCTTTATTAAGACAGCTAGATATTAAGCGTACAACAATGGAAAATAAAACTACATTAAATAGCTGATCAAGTATCATCAATGAAGAGAAAAAAAAGCTCCTGTTTTATTTTGTGTTTTTTGTTTTGCTTTGTTTTTTGGGACAGGGTTTTGCTACATAGTTCAGACTGGCCTCGAACTCACAGCAATCTTCCTGCCTAGGCCTCCTGAGTGTGCTGAGATTACAGGCCTCAGCCACCAGGTCCGGCCTATTTTGTTTTCACCTGGAGTTGGAATATCCCTTGGACCAGGTGCTGGTATGCAGGACAGCCTCCATCAGTCAAGCCAGGCTCCTCCTCTGGCTCTTGCTTCCTTTCTAGCTCTAGGTCCCCTCAGCTGACCTGTCCTCCCACTGCCATGTCTGGTCTAGGCTGTTGTTTTTTTCATCTATTCCAAAGAAGACTGAAAACAAAATCAGAAGAAAGCAAGATTTTTTAAATTGCATGGTAGTTTTTACCTTTCATTGCCTGGGGGGGAAGGGGCAGTCCTAGGGATTGAATCCAGGGAGCACTGTGCTACATCTCCAACTCTTATTAAGAAAAAGGCTAGGGGGCCAGGGATTTAGCTCAGTGGCACCATGCCTGCTTCGCAAGTGCAAGGTCCTGAGTTCAATCCCTGGTACCACAAAAAAAAAAAAAAAAAAGATAAAGGCTAGGGCCGGAGATTTAGCTCAGTGGTTTCGCCACCTGCTACGCAAGCACAAGGACCTGAGTTCAATCCCTGGTACCAAAAAAAAAAAAAGAAAAAGGCTCACTAAACTGCATAGGCTGGCCTCGAATTTACAATCTTCCTGCTTCAGTCTCTAGATAACTGGGATTACAGGCCTGCAGTTGTTAGTTTCACAAATAAATGATAACAAAACCCAGAAATAAACCAACAAATGTTTAAAACCCCATTTTGTGAAAAGTTGATAGAAATCAATGGTATCAAAATACCGTCCCGGGCCCAGGGATTTAGCTCAGTGGTTCTGGCGCCTGCCTTGCAAGCGCAAGGTCCCAAGTTCGATCCCCGGCACAAAAAAAAGAAAAAAAGTGAACAAAATACCATCCCACAGCTTACTTGCTAGATGCAAAAATGAAATGACCATTTAGACTGTTACCACCTTACCTTAGTAATCAAGGTAAAGTTATAATAGTGGAACTAGACACTACATACTTGTTATCATGAAACAATATGAAGTACACAGCATCACTAAACAAAGTACCCTTCCAAAATGTTTAACCTAAGTCTACTCACACCTTTCGATCTAACTCTGTTTTCAGTAAATAGGGGGGGGACAAAGGAAGTACCCACAGCACACCATGAGGAGGAAACCAGCAATACAAAAGTAATAGAGTCTCAACAGAGCCACCAAGTCAATATCATGAAGAAGAAAGGTAAACGAGAGTCGATGGCTAGGAGGGACATGTCTACACTGAAAATGAGATAGTTAATGCAATGGGCAGCCCTTGATTAAAACTTTTTTGTTTGTTTGTTTGATGCAGGGTCTCCCTTTGTAGTTCAGGCTGGCCCTGAACTCACTATGTAGCCCAGGTGGGCCTCAAACTCGAGGTGATCCTTCTGCCTCAGCCTCCCAAGTGGTGGGATTACAGGGATGTGCCACCGAACCCAACTGAAACCAATTTTTTTTTTAAGTAGCAATGAAGGTCATTTTTTGGAACAACTGGGGAAAGCTGAATATGGGAAGAGTAAAAGGTGCTTGGGAATTATTGGTAATTTTTCTAGGAATGATAACAAAGTAGAATGTTGGTTTGCCAAGGACTGGGAGGAGGGAGAAAGAGAAGTTGTTTAATGGAATATAGTTTCAGTTTTATAAGATGAAAAAATTGCACAATAAGGTGCATAGAGTTAACATTGTACTGTGCACCTAACAGTTAAGATAGTATATTTTATGTTATGCACTTTTCGCCATAATTTTTTTTTCTTTGATATGAAGAGTTTCACTACAAAGACAAAGAGATGGTGACTTAGCAAGGACAGGGAATCACTGACACAAGAGAGGCAGAGTAAGAAACAGAACAGAGGATATTCAACTCGGATGCCACCTATCCTACCAACATAGCTGTCTACCTTCTTTCTTTTCCATGTTTTTTCTAAATAAACTGTCTTCTTTTATTTGAAAGAAAAAAGAATTAGAAAAAAAAAGAAAATCGCAAATAAAAACCCTGAGAAATAGGGGTGGGGATATACTCAGTGATAGAGCACTTGCCTCGCATGTGCAAGGACCTGGGAAAAGGAGTGAGACAGAAAGGGAAGAAGACAAAGGGAAGGTAGAAAGCAAGCAAGAAAAAGGATGGAAGAAAGGAAAGGGGGAAGGGAGGAAAATCTTAAGAAATGAAGAAAATTGAATTACAACTATACAATCAATCACTCACCAACCTGTGTCTCCTGACAAAATAGCTTTACTGGTCTTAATACTCTACTATGTGCTTTGTACTACTCCAATGACTGTGCTATATTATATCCAGTCCTCTACTCAACAGCTTCTCTCCTCCCAACCAGCATCCACCAAAAAATCTTCTATCCCCTTTCTGTCTTTACAAATGTAAAAAGTCCAAATTCCTAAACTGAACTATTCCTAAAGAACTACTGAAAATTCTTCTTAATACACACAAAATTGATACTGATTGGGGGAATTCTTAACTCAGAGTAAACAAACTCCTAATATTTCCTGAATAATATTAGTTTCTTTCTTTTTTTTTCCCCCTGGTACCGAGGATCAAACTCAGGACCTTGTGCTTGCCAGGAGGCTCGGCACCGCTGAGCTACATCCCCAGCTAGTATCAGTTTCTTTTTTTGTTTTTTTTTTTTCTCCTCAGTACCAGGGATCAAACTCAGGACCTTGTGCTTGTGAAGCAGGCATGGTACTACTGACCTAAATCTCTGGCCCTAGTATCAGTTTCTTACAGGTAGCTCATATTTGTTGTTTCAGCTTCTACTTTCTGTTGACTCCCTGACTCAATGCAATCTGCCCCCCCATCTATAACAGTCTTCCCTTATCCTCGATTTCACTTTCTGTGGTTTCAGTTCTTGTGGTCAATCTCAGTCTGAAAATATTAAAAAGAAAACTTCAAAAATAAACAATTGCGACCTGGGGATGTAGCTCAGGTGCCACACATGCCTGAGTTCAAACAAACAATCCCTAAGCCAGGTGTGGTGGCCCATGCCTATAATTCCAGCACTTGGGAGCTTGAGGCAGGAGAACTGTTGTGAGTTATAGACCAGCCTGGGATACATAGTGAGTTGAATGCCAACCTGAACTATACAGCAAGATCTTGTATCAAAAAATAAAAAATAAAAAAGTACTATAATACCATGCAGTAGTCCTGATGACTGAGAGGAACACTAAGTGACCAATGGCAGGTATTGTATACAGAATGTATACACAGGGCCCAGGGATTTAACTCAGTGTTTCCACCACCTGCCTCACAAGCGCAAGGTCCCAAGTTTGATCCCCAGTACTAAAAAAAAAAAAAACAAAACAGACTGGATACTTGGGCCAAAGGGATGATTGACCTCTTGGGTGGGAAGGAGCAGGATGGTAAGAGACTCCATCACACTGGTTAGAACAGTTTTCCGAGGTTTGATGAGGAAGGGCATAGTGGCCTAATGCTTAGTCACAATGCCTACATCATTCAGCTCACTTCATCTCATCACATAGCCATTGTATCATCTGACATCATCATAAGGTAAACGGTGAGTGCAGGTCAACAGTTTTGAGACCACATTCACATTTTCATTAGTACACTGTTATAACTGTTATGTTTCATAATTAATTATGCTAATTTCTTACTGTGCCTAATTTATAAAATACATTTCACCATAAGCATGTACAGTACTTACAGGAAAAAACATAGTCTGTATAGGGTTAGGTACACTCTGCCATTTCAGGTATCCACTCAGGGCTGTGAAATGTATCCTCTGTGAAGAAGGAGGGACCACTCCTCTGGTTTGTCTCTGCCTGACCCTTAGCAGTCTCCTTCATGAATCCCTTCTCTTCTCTCACTCTTTCAGTCATTGCTCCCCCAGGTTCTGCCCCCAGCCTTTCAATATAGTTATTCTAGGTCTAGCCACATCCATGAGTTCAACACCTATGACTGACTCCAGCAAGGACTTCTCTCCCAAACTCCAGCAGAGTTAACTGCCTGACAGACATATCCATGCAGATATTCCATAGGCACGTCAAGGCTGAAGGTTCAGCTTCAAAATCCTTCAATGACTCTATAGCAGTGGTGAACCTATGGCACACATGCCACAGCAGCCTGTTTGTCACCACTGAAAGTTCTAAAAGGTTCGCCATCAATTTCAAGATCAAGTTCTACCTTCTTGTAATGCATTCAAGGACTTCTATGACCTGGCCCCTTACCAACCCCAGGCCGCCTCCTCCCTTATGGCCCCTCCGGTACTCTTTTTTTGGGGGGGGCGGGGGGTATCAGGGCTCAAACACAGGACCTTGTGCTTGCAAGGCAGGCGAGGCACCACTGAGCTAAATCCCTAGCCCCTCCTCAGGTACTCTTTACTTCACCTGGATTTATGTGTTTCCCACATGAGGTAGGGCAATATTACATCTCTGTGCTTCACACATGCTCTGCCCTGAAGTCCCTCTACCCCATTCCACAAAGCCATACTTCTTGGCTCCATTAACTTTCTTTCAGGAACATTTTCCACTCTCCCAAAGTCTGATCTAGATTGAGCTCCCACTCCACCT